AGATGGTGTCTGGCTACCACTGTCATCCACTTGGAAGGGGATCTATGTAGGAGATCCTTGATAGAGAGGGAAAACAATGTGCAACAAAACTCAAAATCATTTGGAGAATAAAAAAAGTAAATGACATCAGATGTGAGCAGGTTAAGGCAGTGAGGGACCACGGTGTTGGGTGGTCATTACACAGTCCTTGAAATGACCCAGTATGATGTGCAGTCACTCCTATCCCCTCACCCTTATACTTCTTACATAGTTCCCCCTGAAAAACCAACTGAGTATCCTACCTCCACTTTTCCTGCTACAACTTCAGGTCATTTCCTCAGGCTCCAGACTTAAGCAGATGGCCAGAAGGTGAATGGTTCTTTTAACATTAACATATATATATATGCTTGAGTGTCAGTGAAAACCTAGGGGACAGGTGAAGAGGCCTGTCCTCTTTGAGAAGCACTGAATTGCCAGGAAAATGAAACTCCCCATGACTGGAATGGCTTAAGGTAGCTGGAGAGTGAGGTGGTCTTTGACTGGGGCAGGGTGTACATTGGGTGGAGAAAAACCACTGAGCCTGATGCTCCCATCCTCTGTGAATGAAGGAGGATGGCTATGTGAAGGCAACAAGGAAAAGAGTAGAGAAAAAGAGTTCCCAATACAGGTAGTTTTATATGTGTCCTGGTAAGTAATGACCAGGAAGTGGTCACACAGAGTGAGGAAGGTGCTCATCCTACCCATTACCCTGAGATTCAAGGGATGTTGAAAATGGAACTGTCTCCTCTGAGAAGAAATCAGGAAACTATGATTTCAGAGAAAGCCCTATTTTAGTAGCAACCCCACAGCAGACAGTGGTAAAGAGGATTGAGGGAGGAAGTCATGGGGTGAAGTTTTCAATAAGAATCTCTGAGCTTTTAAATCCTCTATTGGCAGCCCTCATTACTCTACTTCCTGTGGGATCCCCCCGCATCAGTGACTAGATAGGAATTGGAGAGGAGTAGGGTGGGTAGACACTGTTTCAGCATCATGTGTTCATGCCTTGGTTATGATTCCATGCTACCTAGAGTCTGAGGTTCTGTAAGCTGTGTCTCCAGAAGTCTTCATTCTGTGACTTGCTCTTGGATTCTGTCATATTTACATTGAAGGTGCCAAGACTTTCTTCCTCCCTGTGAGCAAGCAAGTTACACCCTGCCCCAACCAAAGTCCACCTTACTCTCCAGCTACCTTAAGCCTGTCCATTTGTGGGAAGTTTCATTTTCCCGGCAATTCAGTGCTTAGCGGAGAGGACAGGCCTCTTCACCTGTCCCCTAGATTTTCTGACAGGCAAGCATATATATTTGGCACGTCTTTAAAGAACCATTCACCTTCTGGCCATCTCCTCAAGTCTGGAGCCTGAGAAAATGACCTTTAGCAGGAAAAATGGAGGTAGGATACTCAGTGAGCTTTTCAGGGGGAAACTATACATGAAGTGTAAGGGAGAGGGAATAGGAGTGACTGCACAGTTTTAAGGGAAGTTTTGGGGGTACTTTCTTCTTTGGATCATCTCTGGAGGTGGTTTGAAAGAAGGGACAAGGTGGCTTCATGCTGTACACACATCTCTGGTTTGCTCTATGTCTTGTTCTCTTTCCCTTTTTCTCTCAATGTGGAATCCATGCAGCCCTGGAAAGGATTGTTGTTGTTATGTGCCATCAAGTTGGCCCCAACTCATAACAACCCCTCCTTGGTTTCTGAGGCAGTATCACTATGTAAGTAGATTGCCCAACCTTCCTTCCAAGGAGTGGCTGGTGGGTTTGAACTGCCAGCTTTCTGATTAGCAGTCAAGTGCCTTAGGCACTATGCTACCAGAGCTCCTCCTGGAAAGGATGTTTGTTGAGAAAATGACTAGCTAATGGAGATGTTGTTGCAAATGGTTGGTAGTAATAATCGATAGCAATTAGCCAAATTCTCAGTGTGATTATGAGACATCTAGTATCACAGTTTAGGAGAGGACACTCCAAACTCCTGCCAAATTCTCTACAGAGAGCAAATCAGAGAAGGCTTTCAATTTGTAGGTTTATGGTACTCTGGCTTCTGACCATGCCACTCTGGCATCTGAGTTTTGAGCTGTAAAAATGTTCACAAAAAGCCTTTGAAAGGAAAATACAATTGATTTTTGAATCATCTACTTCTAGTTCTATGAAAATATGAAGAGTGATTTTCAAGTTTAGCAAATACAAGGAAACCAGAGGGTGTGTTTCAAAGCTGATGAGATATTTCTGAAACATGTGCAGAATTTGGATTTTGGATCCAAATTTGGGGTTTGGATGGTCCATAGCCACTGATGGAGAGTGGGCAGTCGCCTGAAGTTAGAAGGCTGAATCGGGCCTTTTGGCTGCTCCAAAGCTACCTCCTTCCAGTTGAGCTATCTTATCTGGGACGGTCTAGTGTGGCAGGCTTTCTGAGGAACTGTGGGAGGGGAGGTCCTGCAGGCAGGAGGCTGGTAGGTTGAGGTGAAGGCCATCATTCCTTTGCAGGAGGATAGCGGGAAAGGCGGCTTCTGTTCCATCTGCTTGGAGCATTTGAAGGAGGCTGTGAGCACTGACTGTGGACACCTCTTCTGTCAAGAGTGCTTGGCCCGTCACTTGAAGGATGGAGCCTCAGAAACCAGCTGCCCTGTCTGCCGGACCCCTTGTTCTGAGAAAGTGCTGGGGGAGGGCTATGTGTGCCAGCGCCACCAGAAGTTGGTAAGCTTGTTTTGTGAAGAGCACTGCCTTCTTCTGTGTGAAAAGTGCCAGGAGTCCCCTGAGCACCAGTCTCATCAGCACCTGGCCATTGAAAAAGCCAGGAGCCACTACAAGGTAAGACCAGATCACTGCCACCATTATCCTGCCACCAGTCCCCTGAGTTACCCCCTTCTAACTCTTCTCATTATGTCTGACATATCATAGAGGTTCAATAACTGGAACATTTGTTTCTTCTGCTTCATCCTATTTTGGACTCCTGTCTCTGATTTTCTGTATTAATATGAGTCTGTTTAAAAAGGAGATAATGTCCCTGTGAGGAATTGCTGGATGGCACAAATGGTTAAGCACTTGAGTAATAGCTAAAAGGTTGGCAGTTCTAATCCACCTAGAAGCATCTCAAAAGACAGGCCTGGTGATGTGCTTCCAAAATCTCACAGCCTTGAAAACCCTCTGGAGCAGTTCTACTCTGCAGACAGGGGTTTCCACAAGACAGAATCAAACTCAACACCAAATAACAACAACAACATCAGATTCCCAGGAAAAATGAATTACACTTGGTTTGTTCATCTGTAGAATACAGGAATTGGACTAGATAATGCAAAACCCTATCAGTATTGAAACATTCCCAAAATCCAATAGGTTCTATGGGTTTCATTTTATAAGTTAGAACGAAAATCCTATCAGTAGTAAAACTACTTGGGGTCTCTGGTTGATAGTAGTAGTAATTTGGCTAGAAATAAAATCAGGTCTTACGTAAGCTTATCTACTTCCGTAGTGATAGTGCCTTGGAAACCCAAGGAGGGGTAGGTATGAGTCGGGTCCAACTCGACCACACATAACAACAACAACATAATTATCCTGCTAATATGTTGAAACTTGGAAATTACTACATGACTTTCTTTTTCTCTTTCCCCTCTCCTTTCTTCTCTTACTCCCTCCTTCCCTACCTCTGTTTCTTCCTTATTATGATGATTATTTTTATCTTATTTTATTTAAATTTTTTAATCATAAAAGTTACATGCTCTTGGTAATAAATTCAGATAACACTGAAGGGTATAAAGTTAAAACTAAAAATCTTTCTCTTTGCTACCCTCAATTCTCAGTCCCCAGGTAGAGCTAACACTGTCAGATTTTTGTATATCCTCTCAGAAAATTTTGTGGGTGAATACACTCTTAAAAAAAAACAACAACAACAAAACCCACAGAAGAACTCTGTATATCTGCAACTCATTTTTTTATGGTCTAAAAATACATCTTGGACACTTTCTCATTTTCTTTTCAGCAACTGCATGACATTCAATTTTATGAATGTATCATGACTTGGTCCACACTTGGGTTGTTTCCAGATTATTGTTTGTTTTGAGATTATACAGAATGCTGCAATGACTATCCTTCAATTTATAGTTTGGAGAACTTAGAATACCTGAGATATATTTTAGTGAAGGGCTAAGGGAGAAATCTAACCTTACTGCATTCAGTGGTTCCCCCAATGATTTGAATGCCATCTTCATAATCTGCCATCTATGCATATAAAATCACATATTTTCTTGACTATTCTATTTTATTCTAGTCTTATGCTATTCCAGCCTGTCTGCCAAACTGTTTTAAACATCATACCTTTGCAATATGGTTTGATGTTGGATAAGTATGATAACCTCCACAATACTCTTACTTTTTTCAGAATTATTTTGTGGATATTCAGACATGTTTCTTTGGTCATTTAGCTTTAGAATTATTTTTACCAACACCATTCCAATCCATCTGGTATTGAATTGGATGGAAAAGTGACATATTTTTACTGTAGTGTCTTTCCATCCAATAATGAGACATGGATTTCCCAAATCTTTTAGGTGCTTGACTTGATGAAACCATGTTATGATAATGGCATGGTAAATGAGAGTTCAGATTAGGGGTGACTATAAGAAGATAGAGAAACAATTCAGAAAACCAAAGAGGTATCATTCCTTCTAGGTGCAGTGCACCACAGGACAGGGGAGAAGGGTTTCCCACCTGCTAATGAGGTCAGAGGGAGCTCTGGTAGCATAGTACCTAAGACTTGACTGCTAACCAGAAGGCTGGAGGTTCAAACCCACCAGCCACTCCTCAGAAAGAAGGTTGGACATCTACTTCCGTAGTGATACTGCCTCGGCAACCCAAGGAGGGGTCGCTATGAGTCGGGGCCGACTTGACTACACACAACAACAACAAATGAGGCCAGAGATACTTCAGGAACATCACATTTGTTCCAAGGCATGGGATGAACAAATCCATTCCCTTATTCAATGTTTACTCAGGTCTGTACTTTATGTAGGATATACTAGGTATTGTAGAAAATACAAAGATGATTCACAATCCTTATTCATAGGTCTTCCTTTAGACTTGACAAGATTATTCTCATTATCCTGTTTTATGACAGGAAACCTTAAACAAATACATACGAATGATATTTTCTCAATTAAGAAAGACTTAATAAGTTCCCACTGTGTGGAACCAAATTGTGTGCCAGGAATATAATGATGAACAAGACAGATGCCATCCCTACGGCCAGGGAGTTTGCAGTTTAGGAAGGAAGACCAACAAATAAGAAATCGGACAAACTACAAGGTTGGTTTTTTTTTTTTTTTTTAATGGGCTGGGAAGAAAACAAACAAGTGTCTGAGACAGAGAATAATGGGCAACCTATGAAGTACCTAAGGAGCTCTGGTGGTGTAGTGATTAAGGCATTTGGCTGCTAACCAAAAAGTTGGTGGTTTGAACCCACCAGCTGCTCTATGGAAGAAAGATGGAGCAGACTGCTTCTGTAATGATTTACAGCCTTGGAAATGCAGTAGAGGTCGTTATGAGTCAGAACTGACCCTATGGCAGTGAGTTTGGCTTGGTTATATGGAATTCCTGGGTAGTACAAACAGTTAACATGCTCAGCTGCTAACTGAAATGTTGGAAATTTGAGTCCACCTAGATGTGACTTGAAAGAGAGGCTTGGCGATCTACTTCCAAAAAATCAGCCATTGAAAACCCAATGGAGCACAGTTCTACTCTACAAGGAATCACCATGAGTCAGAATTGAAGTTAAATTCTACTGAGCTAAATAATGTGATCAGTGAGGGCCTCTTTCAGGAGATGAAATTGAAGCTGAGCCCTAAAGGAAGAGAAGCTGGCCAAGGCAAGACTGGGAGAAGGGAGAGAACATGGAGAAGACTGAAGATGAGAAAAGTCTTGATACGTCTGAAGAATTTCAAAAAGCTCTAAAGCTCTAAAGAGTTTGAATTGACAGGAGTCACTGGAGGTTGGAAGTAGGGCAGAGAAATGAGAAATCAAAGATGACTGCATGAGTTTCTGGTTTGAAACCATAATAAGGACAAGATAAGGACTGGGAAGAACAGGTTTGAGCAAAACATCAAGAGTTTCATTTAGAACAAGTTGGGTCCAAGTTGAAGCACATCTAAGTAGGATCTTAGACAGGATATCAGGTCTGGATCTACAAAAAGAGTCTGAGGTAGTATTTTTAGCCTCTAAAACAAGAATCCATCAAAATAAAGATGATATTCAAGACCAAGGGAATTAGACTCCTCCTTAGGAGAGAGTCTAGAGGGAGAAGAAGTTGCAAGACAAGGTCCTGAGAAAGGCTATTATCTAATTAATAGAGGAACTAACCAAGGAAATTGAAGATGAGCCACCAGAACAGCAGAAAAACCAAGGGAGTGGCATCCCAGATGCAAAAAGAGAAGTGTTTGCAGGAAGGATGGTAAGATAGTCTTGAATGACACTGAGCAATCCAATAACATGGTGGCAGAGAAGCAAACTCTGGTTTGGGTGTCTGTTCTAACAGTAAGGAACAAAAGAAGGTGTCTGCAAGTGTGTAGGTAGTTTTGTAGACACCCAAGGTGGCTTAGGTATTACAGTTTTTATGTCCTTGTAAAATATGAGGAAAAGATATCAACAGTGTGGGTAAAGGTGAGGATAAGAAAGGTTTGAAAAGAGACAAGAAAGAGTAATAAGACAAGAAAGTTTTCCCAGGAACAGAAGAGAAGAACTGAGTAGAACTGGCAGCAGCATGGAGAACTAATCTGTGGTTTGAAACCAGGGATTTAATATGGTTCAAGGGGCTGCTGATGACAGCCAAGGAAAAGGTGATGGAAGAGTTTATCTCAGAATAAGGAATTGCCTGAAAAGTATGATAAAGAGAGGGAGAGGCAAGAGAGTTGATGGTGTCTTCAAAGGAGTGATTTTAACAGTGGACCCTGAAACACAAGGTGGACCAAGAGAGACGTGTGTTTTCTAGATGTTGATAGTATAATTTTGAAATACAGTTTTCTTCTGGTTTCACTGTGTCTCTATTTCTTTGAATTAAATTCACCCAGAAGTAGCTTGTGTCCTTTTCAAAGGAATTATATAATCCCTGACCACGCCAGGCTGAACAAATTTGCAATGCTACAAAATCTTATTTGTACACCTACTTCTCACTGCCTTACCAATGTTGAGATCTATTATTTTAATGCATGTTGCTGGTTTAATTAGTGTGGAAGAACGATGTTTTAAACTGTTTTACTTTGCTTGATTATTCATGCTAGTGGTAAGGCCTTTATCTATATGAAGACTCATTGTCTACATTTTCCCCTAGAAACAGGGCCTTTATTTTACATGATTGTATCAAAGTAGTTTATCTTTGGTAGTAAGCTATATTAGCTATGCTTAACTTACATTTTTCTTACTATTTCTTTTCTTTTTTGTTTTAATTTTGGGCAAAATTTTTAGAAATGTATATCTAATCTCATTCTATTCTTTTTAAAAAATATAATCTCCATCAGACATTTGTCTAATATGATAATGTTGCTCAATTTTACTTTTAAAGATTTATTAATTTCTGGTTTAACTGAAATTTAATATATTGTGTGATGTGAAAGATGATTCCACGTTAATGTTTCTTTAAGTGAGTTCTTTCCACATCTATGTGTTATTTCTGGTTTTACATAACTAAAGTTTTTATAATAATGGAATATTTTTAGACTCTCTAATCCCTTAAGGAGCTCAGGTGGCACAGTGCTTAAGGCATTTGACTGCTAACCAGAAGGTTGGCAGTTCAAACCACCAGCCACTCTGCAGAATGAAGATGG